GAGTCTTTCAGATACACTTATTAATTCATATTGTAAGATATTCTCCAATTTTTTAATTGCTGTGTCAATATTACCACTTCTTAATAATTTTAAAATATCAGGATAATGATCAGAATATTCCAAAGATAATAATTATTAAATGTTCTATTACACAGATGAATTTGATTCTTTTTAAAGATCTAATTATTTTTTAAATATAGGTGTCGATTCTGCAACAGTCTCTTTAACTGAACATTCGCTTCCAACTTAAAGACTAAAATCATTATAGCTTTCCATTGATTTAACATCTTCTATTTCCTCTTAATCTGCATATTTCTATATCATATTATGATGTCTTTAAACCATATTCTTTTCAATTTAATGTCTCATTTAATAAACATTTCTAATTAATTTTAGTATATTTATACTTTTCTTATTATTCTAAAAGTGATTTCTCTCTAATCACATTAGTTAATATATATCTTTTTTCTAACTTTCGAATATTCTTTAAAGATACTAAACTTTAAGTAGCCAAACTTCTAGGTAATCTATTAGATTTACTAATAGAAAAATAATCAGCATTGATAGAAATAAGAAATTCTAAGATTTCTAGATTTCCAATTATTGCAGCTGTATGACATAAACCATTACCTGTAATAGTTGATTAATGAGAAAAATCAAAAAATCTTTTATTTATATAGTCTACATTATTTGACATATTGAAATCATTTCCAAATTTAAGTCCTTTAAATTATTATTTTTTAATTGCCATCTCTAAAGGAGTATAACCTTCATTATTTTCAACATTTGGATCTGCTCCAAATAATAATAAAATTAAAGCAAATTCTGAACTAAATTCATGTTTATCAAAATTCATCATTAATTAATGTAATGGAGTATTGCCATCAATATTTCTTAACATCACTAAAGATTCATAGTTTATTGGATGTTAGATATTAGATACTTTTAATTAATAGTGAATATTTTCCTTTATTCCTAAAAGAAACTTTAAATTCTACACATCAGCTCTTTGACTCATACAATGAATTGTATTCAATGAAAATTTACCACCAAAAGCCTTTAATATGCTCACTGATCTTTATTATAATGAAAACTAACCTCATTTTGCCTTCTATGTAGCAAACTGACAATGGTGTATTATTATCGAAATCAGTTTTATTGATATCCTAAGGTATGATCTAATTTAAACAATATAATAATCCTATTTCATCATTCATACCTGCTTAACAAAATAAATTTCTCTCCTTATAATCAGTACTATTAAAGTTCTATTCATTTTGACTCAATAACTTAATGAATTCCTAAAAACTTAAGGCTTATTTAGAGAGTGAATTAATTAGTTTCTCTTAAACCTATGGATATTTCTTAAAATTAAGTTTGAAAGGTAAAGGAGGTTTGCAATATTTAAACCAATCAAATTCTAATTGATTCATATTTCTTAGAGCTTTATGAAATTGTTGAGGCAGTTATGTAATTGGATTCATCTAAATACAAAGTATATCTAATTCATATAAATAAGGTTATTTAATATAATTGCAAGCAAGATTGAGTTGCTTTAAACTTTTCAAATGTATTTAGTAATTTTATATTTAATTGTAAGACAAATCTAATACTTCTAAAAATATTAAAGATTCCAAAAAATGAGGTATATTTACCAACATATTTTAACTCAAATATACTTTTTATAAATTGATCATTTATCTACTTTAATGATTTATTATACTTTATATCTTCAGGTATTTAATGTAATTTACATTTAGTTAAATCAAGAAGTTTAATATTAACTAATTTATTTTAATTTAACGAAGTACTCAATAAACCTTTTCCTTATGCTTCTAATTTCTCATCAGTGAATATGATTTCTTATATCTAATATTTATTATTAAATATACAGTTTCAGAAGGAGATTTCATGTCTAAAGGTTCATTCATATTTAAATTGTAAAATTGTACTTTGTCTTCAAGAGCAAAGCAATCCATTTCAAAATGTTTTTTTTATTCATCAAATTATGATTCATTATACATCTCACTTTGTTCATTTTCATCTTGTGATTATTGATAATTCATTTATAATAAAACTTTTAATTTATGAATAAATGAAAAAATATTACACTAAACATATTCCATATAATGTAGAATTAATATTTACCATATATTATGGTTGTGAATAACATATTATATATTTAATTTTATGTAATTATTTAAATATACATTCTTCATTAATTTCAGTACATCTAAGAAAATTTTTATCTTCTAGAATAATATATAATACAATTTTTATATTTCAAAGCAATTTAAATTATATGATTTGTTACTTTCAAATGTATTATTTATTTTCTATAACTTTTATCACGCCCTTTTATGCAAGGCCTTCATCAACTCAAACTTTAAACCCAATCTCACTTCCAATATCCAGATACTCCTCAACACATTAAAACAAGGTATAATTTTCATTCTAATAATAGACCACTACCAAGTCCATAACCAGAAGAAATTGAAACATTTAGTTTGGATGATTCTTGGAATAGTAACATTTCTCCTACAAATAAAAAGACATTTAAAATTGATAAACCCATATTAGTCATCGAGTATTTAGATTGCAAATTAAGAGACTAATTTTGAGCTTTGTATTAGTATTTAAAATATTTATATTAAATTTTAAAATAATCAACTTCTTATTGTGATTAGACTCAATCATTTCAATCTAATTATCTATTCTTAAATGTGAAACATAATAATTTAGAGTTCTTAGTATAAAAATCAATTCTAATATTATTTTTATTTGCTACTTAATCTATAATACCTTAAACTAAAATCCAATTTTAATAGAATTCATAACATATATATTTATTGTCTGCTTATAAATTGTTAGAAATCTATTTGATTAGTTATAACATCTTAAATTCAGCGTAATTTTTGAATTTTTGAATTATAAAAGTAAGTTACCCTTTAATTTTATTTGATAACAAATTTCCATATTAACATTCTATTAATCATTTTAATTATTGATTAATGTATTAAAAGTTTGATGAAATTTTGTACAGAAGTCATTTATATATTAGTTACTTCATTAAAAATAAATAATATTTATGATATTTAAATTGATTATATTGAAACTTTGTTACAATGTATTTATGTTGATTTAATTCTTAATATTTTTTATTAATATAGATTTTTGATATTAATTCTTTCTAAATATTACTTAGAATAATTTATAATAATTGTAGATTGTATTTTTAAAGCAAAATAAATTTGTTATATAAATAAATTAATTACTATAAAAAGTAAATTAAAGTAATAAACAATTAAAGGATGTTGTTCTAAAATATTTATAACAAATTAATTATTAAGTACTATGTTTTACATTGTAAATATTTATTATTTATTAATTTTATTTTTTGCTTAATTATTGAATGAACAACTATTATTTAAATCGATAGCATTTTATTGATATTACGTAATTTAAATGAAATACGTTTTATCAGAATTTTATTAAAATAATAAATGGATAACTTTTTTGACTCTTAGTGTTATTAAGTTGAAACAGGTATAACACTCAAGAAACAAATTGTATTTCTCAAAGTTGGGACTAATAACTTTGTTAGATGTTAATTGTAGTTAGTAAATACAATTTTAACGTTGAACTATTTTGAAGAGGAGACAGAAATCTTGAATTCAATAAATATAGCCAATTCATATATTGAATTTAATGATCATGTTTGTATGGGAAGAGGTGTGAAAATTCGATAATAAAATAAGGAATTACTCATATTTGGTCTAACTTCTTAATTGAAGTAAATACTGAAACTTTATGGAATTCAGAAGGATTTTGCTAATTAATATAGAGTATTGAAATAGATAGGAAGTGGAAGTTTTGGAAAGGTAATTAATTCATTATATAAATTAGGTTTACAAAGTTAAGAATGTTTAAACTGAATAACAATTTGCTGTCAAAATGTTTGAGAAATAATTATTACTTGATCCTCGTGATAAAAGTGCAATTCTAAAGGAAATCTAAATATTAAGATTGATGGATCATCCTAATGTTCTTTCAATAAAAGAATGTTATGAGAGTGATCAATGTGTATTTTTGGTGGAAGAACTTTTCGAGATGTAAATGGATATAAGTTAAGAAAAGATGCTTAAAGAAGATAAGGCAATAAGTTTATTATTGAAATTATTAAATGGACTTGAGTACATTCACTCTAAAAAAATAATACATCGAGACATAAAACCTAATAATATTTTATTTAGAAATATAGAGGATCCAGTAATAGCAGATTTTGGATTAGCAGACTTTTACAGACCAGATGGTAGTTATCTCTTTTAAAAGTGTGGTACTAGAAATTATGTGGCTCCTGAGATTATAACTACACATAATTATGATTATAAAGTAGATATTTATAGTATGGGTGTTGTGTTTCATTAATTGCTTACTGCATAAATTCCACGTCCATGGGATAATTATAAACATTCACCAGATTGTCAGGCTTTATTGATTGGAATGTTAAATTCTAATCCAAGAGATAGACTTTCAATTTAAGAGATAAGAAAAAATAAACTTGTTAAACGTATTTAAAGAAGAAGCTAAATTTTTGATGCTATGGGAAGTTTATCTGATGCTGCTAAACCAAATTTAAATACTCCTTAAGTATAGACTAAACCATTCTCGCTTCATTCAGCCTGAGTAATTTCTCAAATCGAGTATGAATTTTAATTAATTATTAATTTTTGAATAAAATAACTTTTGATCTCATCTTTGATTCAATTATGATTAAATTTTAATGAAATTTAACTCATAAATAAATATTCTAAATCATTGATTATTTATAGTATCATGTAAATCATCTAATCTATCAAATAAATAAACTAAATTTAATTTATATTATTTAACATTTATGTAAATAACTTCTCCATCATTTATTATCATATGCAACTCACTTTAAAAAGACTTAAATCACAACTCAACTCAATTTCCATTATTAAAGTAATACACTTATTTCATTTTAGACTAATTCTGAAAACTTAATAAGATATAAAAAGATAATGAAATAACATCCTTATGAAACTTTTTGATTTAGTTATTCTTATTTGCTTAGTTTTTAATCTCTTATTCTCAAAACAATAGCATATCAAATTTTAAAGTTTAAAAAGGATATGTTTAACAATCTGATTTTGATATACCATATACATATAAATAGATTGAGTTAACTTTATTTTTTCATTATTAATACTACTTGTTTTAAAGGATTGAATAATAATTAGTATGTTTATTATCTATACATAAGTGTAAAATAACACAGAATTCTAATTACAAGATATATATATCGAATTAAAATTTTAAATGTATCTTTGAAATTTGTTGGTTCTATAATGATTATTCTACTTTAAAGAATTCAGCACTTGGGATCAATTATAATGATCATTATTTTTATTTAAGTTTTAATAATAATTTTAATTTTAGTAATACTATAAGTTTTTTTTATCATTAATATATAACATCAACCTAAATTACTAATTTTATAATAAATTCTTATTAATATTAATAATGCTTAAATAATTGTTCTTATAATTTATTTTATTGAGAATTATGCATCTTCTATTATTGAATTTATTTTCAAGTTTTCTTTAAAGCATAAATGATTAAATATGAATAAATTAACATTTCTTTATTAAATTAAGTAATTTATTAAAGTCAATCAGTTTGTAAACTTTATGTCTTTCTTCTATATTTAGATAAAATAATTATTAATATTCACCTTTTTTGTTGTACAATTATTTTGAAGACAATCCAATTCATGATGTCTATTTCTTTAGAAATACCAAGTCATTACACTTAATATATACTCTTTATTAATCTATATATTTATTTCTAGAATAGTATAGACACTTTAATTTTATTAAATTATTAAATGAAATTATTTATTTAATTGAATACTCAATTTAAATATCATTATCACTTAAAATTATTCACAATAAAGAAAATAATATGATTTCTTTTTGATTTAAGAAAATAATGAATAGGATAACATAATATCTTTTTTAAATGTTTTGTTACTTAATTCATTTTTGAATATATTTATAAAATAATATATCATCATAATTCTTCTTAATAGATCTCTTAATACTCTTCTTCAGTTTCTTAAATTGGTTCTTTGTTTTTCAATAATTTTGGTGGTTATAGGATAAATTAATCAGACATTTAAAATTCAACAGAATCTTCTTCTTCTTTAATTTATTTACTAGAAATTTTATTTAGTTGATCACTAGGCCTTTTTAATAAAGGTACACTCTCAATTTATGATTAGCTATAAGTGAGAGTATCTCTGGCTGAAGTAGGTTTTCTGCTTTCAGAAGTTTTTAAGTAGGTATCACTAATTCTGAATTCTATAATAAATTAGAAAATGTGAATTACATGAATATGCTATTTAAGATTCATCAATTTTTTGTTCTGAAGTTTTTTAGGGAGTTATACTAATATCTTCAAATTCTTTATCATCTTACTTTATTTACAATTTTGGTATATATCTATAGATTACAAAATCTATTTTTTATAAATTATATAATTATGATTGCATCTCACATTCTTCTTTCAAATAGATACGTAAGAAACCTTAATCAATATTGGTTACATCTCCTAGATAGATTTGATTAATTAATCGAAGAAATGTGATTTATTCATCATTTAAATTAGTATTTCTTTTAATGTATATGATATAATCATCTACATTATATTTAGCATCATTTAATTTAATGTATTTCATTTATTGATTTAATTATTTAATTAGATTATTTCTATTAATGATAGTTTTGAAATTAAATTAAGTGTCTTCTTTTTTAGGTACAATAATTTAAATTAAATCATTAATGCTTTATGTATCTTCCCATTAAATTTTATATCCAGTTCCTTTATCTTCACTAAAGAAATATCGACTTAATATAAGAGCATCATCTTATTAATAATTAAAGGGAGATCTCATAAAATAATGGACAGAATCTTTTAATTACATGTATTCTATATGTTAAAAGATATACAATAATCTTTAACGAGTTAAACATAAAGATATCACTTTATATTTGAGATCTTCTAATAATTATTATAGACGTTCTTAATGTATAGGTATAGCATTAATAATATCAGTAGGTTTATGTTGTAAAATTGATGGTTCAGGGAATTATATATTTTGATCACGATATGTTTTTGGAGGTTATATAGATTTAACAATTGGTTCTTCATTTGCTGATTTTTATTTGAGTAAATCTTAGATGGCTACTCTATCTTATAAATCCTAACTAACTGAATTATGATATAAGATACATTAATTATTCTTTTTTTTATATGATTTCTTCTAAATGTTATTTAGTTTTTTATGCTTTTATTATTGTTGATTTGAATTCTCTTTCTTAATCTTATTATAACTTTGTAGATTATTTATATTTATTCTCATATAATGATAATTCTCCTTTTAATACATCAACTTATTTAAGTACACTCCTATTAAATAGATTAATGAATTTACTATAATTTATTTTCAAGAAACTCTCTTTTTTTTTATTAATATTATTCAGTTTCAGTTATCAATTGTTCATCTAATTTCTTTTTTAATTGAATCCTTTCTAAACCAATTTATTTGTATTCTTCTTATAATTTATTTGTTTTTTCTAATAATTCTTAATATTCTTAATTTAACTTCTTATTTTGCTTTAACAATTAATCAATATGAATTTATTGGGCATCAAGGGTTTTGATATAATTTTAAACGCGCTCAGCAATGTCAGGATCATTGAACAAACTTTGAATAAAATTACACTAATTGATTACTCTTAATCTGTTATTTTAAGTGCAATCTATTAAAACTATCTCAATTTAATGATTTCATCTTATTGATTCTTAATCTGTTTCTATAATTCAAGAATTTAAGTTAGTTTTACTGATTTACATTAAGTACGTAAATCTGTAGTCAATTCTTCTATTATTTAAGCTTATTGTTTAATTTTTGCTTTGAGCATAGGAATTATGCTACCTTCTCCATTATAAGTTGACATTCCTAATGGATCAACTTATAATTGATTTCTATCTATTCTTTCAATTTTAGAGATACGAGCCTACAATATATACTATTATTAAATAAACCTATAATTGTTAGACTAGAGTTTTTAATTTGAGATTCTAAAATTTGATTTCATTAGTCTCCTATTTCTAATGCATATTATTCATATAAAGAGTTTCTTGATCTATATGAAATTATTGAGGTGTCTGCGGAAGTCTATTTGGTTTAGGAGACACCATTAAATGAGAAAAAGAGGAACGAGGATCTGATGGCTCTGATTTCAGCTTTACGATTGCTGATTAAGGTCTGTGTTTCATAATTTAAGTAAATTATTATATCACTTTTTAGTTGGCTTCTTATCTTTCTTCTTTTATATGGTTTTTTTGATTGGCTTATTTTGTAAATTTGCTAATGTATCCTCTAATTGTTTAATTTTGGCATCTTTTTCTTCAATTATCTATTTCAATCCTTCAATTTAATCTTGATATTCAGCATTCTTGGCCTCCATCTCAGACACACGATTTCTCAGCTCTTTTAGAAATCAAATTGTTTACAGCATCATTCTCTTTAAAATACTCTTCTTGTAATTACTTACATATTTGATGTGGGTCCATTTATTATTTTTAAATTATATAAAATTCCGGGCAAATGTATTTTATATCTAATTGTAAAAACAAAAAATAAAGAATATATAAGTAATAAGAATATATATATAATTCATAGATACTTAAATAAGATTTTTTTAAGAGCCTTCTATTTCACAGGCTTATGTAAATATTCTGTCATTCCTACTTTCAAACATTCTTCCATCTACTCTTCTGAGTCATATGCCGAACACCCAATTATTGTAGTAGATGCTCCTAATTCAGCACATAAATTAAATATAGCTTATGATACTTAAAATCCATTCATAATAGGCATTTCTAAATCCATAAGTATAACTTTATAAAATTCTTAATTATGTTCAATTCTTTCTTTGCATTTTTATATTGCTTAATATCCATTTAATGCCCAATCTACAGCAGTGTTTGATATCATACGTGTAATCATTTCTATATTTAATTATACATCATCCACTATTAATATTTTTGGATCTCCAATAGAAACTTTTGTTGATGCCTTAATATTTATATTCTTTGTTATAACTTTTAATTTTTGAGGTTAATCATCTTCAGGAATATCATAAGAATTTTATTCTGAATTTTCACTTTCTTAATTGCGTTCTTCCATTTCATTAAGTGAATAACTTTCTTGTACATCACAAATTTATATACTAAAATAAAATGTAGATCCTTTATTTAATTAAGAATGTAATTTTAATCCATTTTAAATGTCTCCATTAAGATTTTATAATATTTAATTACTTATTAATAATCCTAATCCAACACCTTATGTATTCAATTTCTTACTCTCCTCACTATTACCTTTTGCAAAAGCTTTAAATAATTTTACCTTATCATCATCAGAAATTCCAATTCCTGTATCTATCACAGAAATATTTATCTTCTTTCTATCTTATCCTTAAGTTACTTCTAATGTAATATTTCCTTTTTGTGTAAACTTAAATGCATTTCCTATTAAATTCATAATTATTTATTTAATTCTATTGGAATCTTATTCAATAATCTTTGGAACATGTGCATTATAATTCAATGTCAAAACTATTTATTACTTTTCAGCAGTGGCTGAGAATAATTCAAGACAACTTTTTAACATATTCTTTAAATTAAACTTTTTTTTAACTGCCTTAAATTTACCTACTCTAATCTAAGCTAAATCAAGAAGATCATCAGAAAGATTCAACAATTATTTAGCTGTATGTAATGCAACTCTCACATATTTTTAATTTTCCTTATCTTTTTCACAATATAAGGTGTCAGATCTATTTCTACTTTCTTCATTCAAACTCTCATTCAATTAATCTATAATACAATTTAATGGTGTTCTATATTCATGACTTACAAATGCCAACATCTTAGATTTCTAATTACTATAATTCTTTAATGATCTAATATAATCTCTATGAGTAATATCTCGTGCAACTATAAGAATATAAGGATAATCATTAATTAATGTAGAATACAATTTAATTTCTATTTATCTACGTTTTTATTTCTCTGATCTAATATAACCCAATACAACAATATGTTCTTATACATGTGTATTTTTCATTAAATTCTAAACTTCTTTTTTTTAAATCTACTTCTTCATATATTGAATCTCTTAATCAATTATCTAAATAATATTAATAATCATTTACACAACAATCAGAAATAAATGTATCCTATATTTTTATTGTCTCTTTTTTTGACTGTGTCTTAGCTCTTGGTAATGGCATTTCTTTTAATTTTTATTATATAACTGTTCCTGATTATTTATTTTAAGATCTCGCTGCACTCATAAATAAAGTTTTTTGTATAGGTACAGGTTGAAATGTTGAAAATGAACTCATTGATTATTTTGGTGGTTATTATTCCATTGATTATTTTTCTGCTTATTCTACTATCTATTATTCCTCCAACTTATATATTGCTTATAGAATTGATTATTGACTATCTTCTTAAACAAATATCTTTTTCATATTCTCATTACAAAACTAGACATCATCATTTAATCCAACCAGTGCAATCCCCTAAGGAAAAAAGCTAAGCAATTCCACTTAGTAAAAATCATTTTTTGGAGTTGGAGGTTAACTTTCAGAATGACAATTACGATCTTTAGTTATTTTATAAGTAGAATGATGATTACTATCCACAAAGAAATTTTCTTAATTGAAGTTAAAGTTTCCATTTTATTAAGGTTGGTTAATCAATTATGTCAAAGTCTTTATTACTATTGATATACAAGGTAAATAAATTTGACTAATATGATTATTCATGAACAAAAGAAGTACAAGAAGATCTGCTCCTACTGAGAACAATATTATTAGCCATTTCTTCTTGAATTCATTCTCAAACAATAAAGTCTATCCTATTTACATGACACACATGCATGATAACACATCTTTGTTACTACTTAAATACAGAATTGTCATGTATCCCAAATATTAAATGATTAGTACCATTTAAAATTATGATGCCCCTAAATACTCCCATGCCATACGAGTAATTTACAATAATAACACCAAAAACAAGTAGTAGTATTCTTCAGAACCAAATATGCACTGAAGAATTAAAAGCAAACTCATTAGCAGAATAAGAAGCTGACTTTTAATTAAGTTCCACAATTTTCCCATATTAATTAATACTCTTAAATAACTCTATGCTATTTTAAAACATCATTATTACCAATTACACATTATAATTTACAATATTCTTATGAAATTTTGAAAATTCATTATCACAAAAACTACATTTGTAGATGAATCATGTATAATATTAAAATTCAAATATATAAATCAATGGGAAATCAGAATTTCATCATTTTTTAAATANTGTATTTTTCATTAAATTCTAAACTTCTTTTTTTTAAATCTACTTCTTCATATATTGAATCTCTTAATCAATTATCTAAATAATATTAATAATCATTTACACAACAATCAGAAATAAATGTATCCTATATTTTTATTGTCTCTTTTTTTGACTGTGTCTTAGCTCTTGGTAATGGCATTTCTTTTAATTTTTATTATATAACTGTTCCTGATTATTTATTTTAAGATCTCGCTGCACTCATAAATAAAGTTTTTTGTATAGGTACAGGTTGAAATGTTGAAAATGAACTCATTGATTATTTTGGTGGTTATTATTCCATTGATTATTTTTCTGCTTATTCTACTATCTATTATTCCTCCAACTTATATATTGCTTATAGAATTGATTATTGACTATCTTCTTAAACAAATATCTTTTTCATATTCTCATTACAAAACTAGACATCATCATTTAATCCAACCAGTGCAATCCCCTAAGGAAAAAAGCTAAGCAATTCCACTTAGTAAAAATCATTTTTTGGAGTTGGAGGTTAACTTTCAGAATGACAATTACGATCTTTAGTTATTTTATAAGTAGAATGATGATTACTATCCACAAAGAAATTTTCTTAATTGAAGTTAAAGTTTCCATTTTATTAAGGTTGGTTAATCAATTATGTCAAAGTCTTTATTACTATTGATATACAAGGTAAATAAATTTGACTAATATGATTATTCATGAACAAAAGAAGTACAAGAAGATCTGCTCCTACTGAGAACAATATTATTAGCCATTTCTTCTTGAATTCATTCTCAAACAATAAAGTCTATCCTATTTACATGACACACATGCATGATAACACATCTTTGTTACTACTTAAATACAGAATTGTCATGTATCCCAAATATTAAATGATTAGTACCATTTAAAATTATGATGCCCCTAAATACTCCCATGCCATACGAGTAATTTACAATAATAACACCAAAAACAAGTAGTAGTATTCTTCAGAACCAAATATGCACTGAAGAATTAAAAGCAAACTCATTAGCAGAATAAGAAGCTGACTTTTAATTAAGTTCCACAATTTTCCCATATTAATTAATACTCTTAAATAACTCTATGCTATTTTAAAACATCATTATTACCAATTACACATTATAATTTACAATATTCTTATGAAATTTTGAAAATTCATTATCACAAAAACTACATTTGTAGATGAATCATGTATAATATTAAAATTCAAATATATAAATCAATGGGAAATCAGAATTTCATCATTTTTTAAATATCACATATAAATTCTAATTTATTTTTATTAATCACATTACAAAAGCAAAATCATTCTTATTAATGGTTTTTTTCAACTTAGATTGATTAATTATTTTAATTACGTTTACAAAAATAAAGAAAAAGCATTCATTAATCATATTAATCTATAATATAATTAATATTAATCATTAATTTTAATATTTAGTATTAAATATATTTTATAATTAAATTAATTTAAGCAAATTAAATAATGCAAAAATAGATTTGATATTTCTAATGGATAATGCAAAATATTTTTAGATAAATAAAATATATTCGTAATTATTACCTAAATATTAATTGTTGATAATTAATAACATTAATATTATAATCATAAACATAGTATTCCCCATGATTATATAAGACAATATATATACATATATATTGTTAAACTATTAATTAAATTAGATACTTCTATCATAAACAGTTAATAAGTATTTTTATTTAAATTACAATCTATAAATTATTTTAGATTTAATAATACCATGAACTTAGTTAATTTACAAAATCATAATATGTAAATTAATGTATTATATTTTTAGAATATAGAAATGGATTGTTATTTAAAATATATATTATTATATAAAGTACATAATTTTATTAATAAACCAATTTACATCATTATGTCATGCTCGTTTTTTTGGAAGAATTCTTTAATTTTACACAGCAACAGATTTGACAGATGTCATCTTGTTTTCTTCATCTTTATAATATTGTGAAACTCTTTTGCGTTAAGGTCCTCCATTTTTGATTATATTACTGTTAGATAGAGCTTAAGCTGTATATTTATCTTAAGAATTGACTCTAACTCTTTCATCTAAAATTTTAAGATTATTTCTTTGGTATTAATGTTATTAGACTTGATTTCTTCCAATTGAATAACTTAATTATTCATTATCTCTTAGAGAATTTACAACATATTATTATTCAGGACTAGGTCTTCTATAGATATTACAGTATTTATTAGCAATGTATTAAAAATGAGAAGAATCCTAAACAAATATATAATGAACTACTTTAAGATGATTGCGTTGAGCTTATTATTAAGGATTATATTGTATTTATTATTATTGCTGTTAATCTTAGATTCTGGCTAAGTTAATGGTTGATAAAGGTACAACCTTCTTCAAAATACATTATTATTATTTATCCTTATTTTTGAGTAATTGATTCATAAGATTATTTTTGGCAGGACTTCGACTACATGATCGTTATTCTAGATGTTATTTACGAATAGATTGCCATTATATTTCAAGATTTTCAATAGCCTTGATATATATAAGAAGGACTTTACTTCATTTAATTAAGTACGATTACTCTGAGGTGTCAATGTTATTCTTATTTAATCAATATTTAAAGTACTCTTCATTTTTGTAAATTTTAACATGCATACGTTCTTATGGCAATTAACGTAATTAACTCAGACTTAAATTCTATGCATAGTAATTATTCATGGCTTAACAGTTAAAATTTAATAATAAAATGACATTTAATCATAAAATTCAGATTGAATCCAAATGTATAGATATACTTTTTAATATCTCCAAAAGATATTCAGAAATATATTTATCTATTTATGAACTCTTAAATAGATTTATATATATAAAATACAATATTATGTAATTATAATAAAAATGATTCTAAATTATAAATATCATTTAAACAAATATACATAAACTAATGAATAATTAAATTATATTTCCTATATTATTGTATAATTAATATCTCATTTCAATTAAAAAATCATTTATTATTCTTTTCATCTTGACTTATATACATATATTAACAAAAAATATCATACTATTGTACTATCCTAGTTATTGAGAATCTAAATTACAAACAATATTTCATGTATAAGATTGACATTAATTATTGAGGGTTTGATCAATTTTAGAATAAAAGATTTTACATAAGAAAATCGTAATTTTGTGGCTTAGATGACTATTATCATAAATATTAATAATTGAACCAGACAAATGGGAAATTGTTAACAGTGTAATGATTCTGTTCCAAATAAGACCTAAGAGATCTTGACTACAAAGACAACAAAGAGTAAATAAAAAAATGGAAAGAAGTTAAACAAATAAGAAATAAAAGGAGTGATTAAAATATAAGCAAATTTCAGAGGCTATGTAACTCGAAAGTATTATCCTATTTTAAATTAGAAAATTTTAATTTAAATTCTCTCGATCAACAGCACAAAAACATAGTTCTTCAATCATTAATTAAAAAAGTTCACATAATGATTTGGTTATAGCTGAAACATCATAAATCAAATAGAATACTCTCTAAATACAATAGACAGTGAAAAGATTACCTCCAAGAAAAGATTAAGAGCAAGAAACTAAATAAAAATAATTTTGCAATGCCGATATTACTATAAATATAAATAAGGAAGTCAAAGATGATGCTAGTTCTGTTTCAGAACTTAGTAGACCTACAAGCAATCCAATAGCAATATCTACAGAGATGAATGGATTATGTTTCATACCGTTATAAAAAAAAGATCAATAATTAGTCTAAACAAATTAACAATAGAAATTGCCTTGTATTGAACTCTAAAATGGAGCATTTTATGAAGGTTAATGGAAAAATGGAATGATTCATGGTTTTGGTAAATATATTTTATCTGAAAATTCATTCTATATAGGAGATTGGTATGAAAATAAACCAAATGGATCTGGTACATTTTAACATTCTAATGGAGATTTATTTTTAGGTACTTGGATTGATGGATAAGTAAAAGGGAAAGGAAAGTATACATTTTCTGATGGTTCATATTATGATGGTGAATGGAAAAATGATTTACCTAATGGTTAAGGAATATAAATATATGATGGTGGTTGGATTTATGAGGGTAAAATTTGATCTGTATTCCAAGGCTAGGAAGTTTTCAAGATGGGTTTAAAAGTGGTTTTGGTAAATTGATATATCCTGATGGAGCAATATATGAAGGAAGATTTGAAAATGATTTAATGTCTGGATTTGGAACTTTAACATTTTGTGATGGTAGAATATATACAGGAGAATGGAGAAATGGTGTTAAATATGGTAAAGGAGTATTCGAATGGCCAGATGGAAGAAAATATGATGGTTAATATGTTAATGATTTGAGAGAAGGATATGGTGTATTAGTATGGCCTAATGGTTAAAAGTATTTGGGACTTTGGAAAGCAGGTCTTTAACATGGAAATGGATAAATCATTAAATCTAATGGAACTACTTTTAGAGGTAAATGGATTAAGGGTAAAATGGCAACAACAAAATTAACAACTAATACTCCAGCTAAAGTAGTTAAACTCACTAATGATTGATATTATTTTCTAAATTCTCCACTCCTAATAATAATAAAATTAATAATTTCTAATTATAATATTATTATTCATATATTATTATAAATGATAAAATTAAAAGAATAATCAACAAGAATATAAAAACATAAATTAAAAAATCAATCACAAACTAATTTTAGTATTTCTAATGAATTTATGTCTAACTATTTCTCATTCTAAAAAAATTAATATAATAAATTACCAATTATTAAACAACTCTAATAAATTTGGATACAAATTTAATTGAAGTTAGGATTTATTACTTTGATTTTTCATAATTTTTTAGAAAATCTTCAAATTCATTTTCTTTGAGTTCCTTTTAGTAAATCACATATAAAATTGAAAAGGATAGATCATCAAAATCATAACTTAAATAATTATGATCCAAAATAATGACATTTAGAATTTAGTTAATAAGTTTCATATCATTTTCATTAATTTAGATTTTCAAATTTAATTGTTAATTAGATATGTATACATTTAAATTTGGAAATGCTACTTAAAATCGTAAAGTAACCTCATAAAATATATCTTATAATGTTAATGGATTTGTATGCCAATCTAATACTTTAAGTATAAGTCTTTCATATTATAATAATTATTATTTGTTCATATTGAGTGATGATTATGAAAGTAAAAGATTAACATTTGGACTTTCTGAATTCATTTTAGTAATAACAAATATTATAGCCAAAGATAGAAATCTTAATTATTATTGATTTGATATAGTTTTGCATTTGAGTTTACTTAGAAATAGATCAAATAGATAAATGGCTTTATGAAAGTAAGGATTGTTCATATTAATACAATTGTCAAGGATTCTATTAAGTATTATTGCTCTAGTTTTATAGTTATATTCTTTTTCTTTGAATTCTTATATATAGAGTGGATTAATATAATAGAACTATTTTTAATTTGGTATGACACTGTTTCGATTTGTGAAAGTAATAGGTAATTATACAGAATCCTCTATTTTTAGATTCTCATGACAGTAAAATTCATCTTCATAAGTATGTTAAGTACTATCAGCTGTTGTCTTTACTTTCTAGAACAATAATATTAGAATAATTACCTTAATAATTTAAGGAGATTGTATAGAATAGTCATTTTAAGTACAATCTTAGGTAGATGTTTAAGTCTGGACACATTTTTTTATAGTTGATGCTTTAGTGGATGAGGCAAAGTAGTCTAAGAATGATTGTTATAGTTTACTTGTTGACCCTAAATAATGGACTCCTAGTAGTAACTTGAATCTTTTGTCATCCATCTTCATTATTTATTTAATAGCTTATAATCCTTTTAATATTTGCCTTTTGTTTTGTGATGAGCGCAATTTCTTGAATTTTGTGTTATTTTTGTAATTGGTACCAGAATAGCAACATTTTAAAATTTTAATAATATTTTATTAAACTTTAGATTCAATTACCAGTATCTCTTAAGAAAGAATGATAGAATCTGTCTATTGAATTATTTAAACATATATATTATTTTTATTACAGAGAAGATGACTAACATAAAGTATATAATAATTAATTATGAATAGAAATCAATCATCAATTTATCATTCAATCTGCTCTCTATCTAGGAAGATTCACAATTCCTTTTATTAATTGAGCTACAAATTTAGAATATATGTATGTTAATATCTTCAGAAATACCAATAAAATGTTCAATCTAATAATAATAAATGTGATATATATATACTTATTAATGTAGGCTAAGAAAACTTAAATAAAGAAACAATAATATACCCATTTGAGTAATAATTGATACATCAAATAGGATTTAGTTCTATAAGCAGATATAGCTAAATAATAGAAGATGAGGCAACTAACAATGTCAATTACAGTTAGAAACCAATATAATTACTCAGCTCTGTCTTGGGAATCCAATAAAGTTTGTAATTTATTGATTGTATCTTGTCTAAAACAAACACCCAAAAATGTAAAGATAGTATTTAGAATGGCATGTAAGATTACGATTATGAGAATTGTAAGTTGTTATTTGAGCATCATCTCAAGAATGGAATTAACAAGAGAAGGAATGGCCTATCCAATCTATTCATCCAAAGAGTCAGCTTGGGAACCTTCATCTTCACTATCTACATTTCTTTGAGTGATATGTATTTGGGCATCATTTGAATATGGTTCGACTAGTGTTGTAAGCAGCAATTGGTACGCTGTATAATAGAGCCATCTCGATTTTCAAGTAGAGTGTCATCATCATCAATTTCAACTGTCGAACATTTCATATCTCTATAATATAAATTATTATTATTATATATATATATATTTAAAACAAGTAAACAATGAATCATATTGTTCTTTTTCTCTATTATGAAAAGATTGCACTTAATTACTTTCTTTTTTATATCTTTTATAATATTTCATCATTTATATCCTCATTAGATCTAATATCAAATAAAGAATATTATCAACAATTATCTACTTTCTATTCTATCCTAAAAACTTTCAATTTCATATTCCATCTAAATATATTACTCAAAATCTTTTTTAAAATATATATATATATACATATTAATTTATCTTATATGCAATCACTCTATTATAATTAGTTATTATATCTAAATCATTTCTTCCTTCAAATTTTATTTCTCCATCAATAAAATATTATCGCAAAATAAATATCTTGTTTTTATTAAACATTTAGCTTGCTAATTTCTAATTCCAAACTAAATATTTATTAATTTTTCCAATTTTATTATTTTTTCATACCTTCATAATCTCTCTTATATCTTCTTCTGTCTAACACTTAATATCTATAATATAGATTACTAAATTCTAATTCATAGTTCCATTTTCAAATTATAACAAATAAATATTATATATTAAATGGCTATTTTTAATCTCATGCTGCTCGTTGCTTTTCCAATGATTGTTTTTTCTGCCTAATCAAAAATTGAAGGCAAAATCTTGTAATGTAACATCGTCTTCCTTATTTATTGAAGAATTACAAAGAGAATTTGTACATGATGATCCTATTCTTAAAGTAACACTCAATTATGGATAATATGAAACATACACCTAAAAGAATGGAATATTTGCATTGTATATTCCTTTAAATTAATGTTAGTTACAATATTCCAAATGGAAGATACTTCTTAGAAGTTCATTCAAGATATTTTGTTTACGAATCCGCATTTATTGATGTATACACAAGCAATAAAGGTACAAATGTTGCAGTTTCAAAAATACATCCTATTTCAAGATAAAGACCTAAATAATAATAATAATAAAACAAGTAATAAAGAATACAAACAAGAGATTAAATGCTTTTTGAGATCATTTAAAGAAAAGATTACTTTGAAGTAAAACCATATAATTTATATATCAATAGAAAGAAGAAGAATTAAGTTTGTCATCTATTTACCAAAATTAATATTTCTTCATGACTGCAATAACTGTGTTAATGTTATTTTTTGTAAAAAAAATGCCTATAGGTAATTATTAATTTTATCAATTTCTTTAGAGGAATTATAATCAGCAGAAAGAGCTCCATAATAATAATAATAATAATGATTAATGTTGTATATATAATACGATAGATAAATAATTATATATATATTAATATATCAATTAATTATATTGGGTTCTTCTTTGACTTATTATTATGAAATATTTTTGAAGTTCTAAATTAATAAAGATTCTAGGTTACTTGAATCATCATCATTAATTAGAAATTAATTAATTTTTATTGAGCTAATTCCCTTTAACAGAGTGCCAATGCTATTTAAGCTCCAGCATTGTCTAAATTAGGAGAGCTCATCACAGGAAATATAGGTTAAATGGTTTGAGCTTAAGGTTTACGTTCTGGTGAGATTGGTCTCATGTATTGAGGCTATTCTAAATTATACATTGATTAAATCTTTCTAGGTGAACTATTTTCTCCAGATTCCTATCTGTTCTTATTTCTTTCTCTAGTTTTTTTCTTTCCTATTCTTCCTTCTTTCCTATAAGTTTGTAAAATTGCTTTAGCAGTTGAAAAATTAACTCCAAATTCTTTAGCAGCATCCTTTATTGTTGCTTATTTCGAAATTATACGACGTAGTAATTGAATACGAATTGATTAATCAATAATGGCATATTTTTTGGAGTCTTTATTTTTATGCTCTTCATGGTTTTAGTCTTGTCTATAGATAATGAATGAATATTACGATTCAGGTGTAAAACTATTATTAACACTTTCTTCTTCTGAATGTATCATTGAAGTTTTATAAATGAAGATAAAATTATATAAAGTAATCAAGATCCCATTTTAATCACTTTAGACAAATTTTCAAACTTATGAATACTTTTGAATTTTGTTCGTTTCTTTTATAAACAAGTACTAGGTTTTAAAAGAAATTATGTTTAAAAACTATCAATATCTATACGAGATTGACATCTCTTTCTATCAAATATACTCTAAGATTACACTCCACTTCTACTTTCTAATTGAAATCTATCTTAATAATTTAAAATCTTATTTTTTAAATTCTAAATAACATTATAAGAAGAATGAATAGATTAACAATTTTTTTAATTTTGAGAATTATCTCTATATTTGCGATTCTACTTCATAAGATTCAATAAATCTTATGAATATGTAATCACCTGATTTTCATTAAAATTAGAAGAGCATTCAATAAATTTTGAAGTACAAGGCTATGAAATCTTGCGTAGAATATGAGTACTTTTCTAATTTGCATTTGGTAGAATATATTAATTTTTAATTGGAACAGATGAACTTTTTTGAAGTGATGTTACACTTTCATAATTAATCCATTTCTTATTAAACTTATCTTCAAAATATTATTATAACCATTCTTCACTTTAATTATTACGCATATTTTCTATATATTATTAAATAGGCACTCTTAAAACTGAAGTTCTAATCATACATTTTGCTTAAGAAGATCTTTTTACATAATTTTATTGCATTTTAGTTAAATAAACTTCATAATCCCCTACAACTTAACCATTTGAATATCTACCCAAAGTT